GATATCCAGCTTTACCAATATACTTCAAAACTTCCTCTACGATTTCTGGATCATTAATATCCGGATTTTCATTAATTGGAGTAGGAGATAGTTGATTTGATATATTTAAAATTGATATAGGAATTGTATTATTCATTTCCTCATTAATTCTTTTTTTTGTTTTATAGATAGTAGTTTCACATGGTAATTCAGGCTGTAATGCAGCTAGGTTTCGATATGAATCTCGTGCAATAGGCCTCTGATCTATTACTTTAGTAAATGCCTCATTTCATTGATTTTCTTTTTCTTTATTTTGATTTCCAAAACTAGCTTGAAAGTTTTTGTCTTGAACAGTAAAGCAAATTTTTTGAAGTGTTGGACAATCATCAGAATGAAAATATTTAGCTGCTGTATTTGTGAAGTTAACTGCCAATTGTTCATTAAACACATATACTCTTTTATTTTCATAGAGTTGCTCAACTTATTAAAAGGTTTGAGCATATGAGATCTACGTTTTCTTTCACGCTCCCTTTCTAGCTTCTGACTATTAAGGCAAAATACATGTACCCCAGAAAGACGAGCTTGAGTATTGGGTTTCTTTATCTATTTGAAAGTTAACATTAATTTAAATATAAAATGGTATCAATATATTTAATTTAATACAACTTACTTGTAAATAAAAATTTGCTGCCTTTGTTGCTGAGTGTATGGATTCTACACTTGCTTGAAAATTTTCTCCAAATGAAATTTTAAAAACTGGTATTTTCTCTATATAAATAATTCCACATTGTATTATATGTTTAGAAGAACCTCTGCACCAACTTGTTTGTATTAAATAGTAATCTGGAATCTTAAACTGTGTGTTATTACATGAACGAGCAGAAGTGTAACAAAGTATATCATTTTGAGGATAATATCCTTCTTTAATAATCGTATAAGTATATTGAATACAATTTTGATTAAGTACAATAATGTTAGAGGCAGGATAAGTAGACATTTTAAGCTAGATAAGTAGAAAAAGTGCGCATAAATTTATTTATGTTATTATCGTTATTATTAAATCATTAAACAATAAAATAGATCAAATTTTAGTGTATTACAAGATATTTCATATTAACCAATCAAAGAGGTGCCAATTTAAATGACTGCACATGTGGTTGTACTACAAAAATGTGGGGTTATCCCTAAAAAAATTAGGGTTAGTGTTAAGATATGCGCATATGATTAAAAAATGCTGATCTTTAAATCGTAATTCTGGTCAAAATTTTCTTAACTCTGGCCGAAATTATAATGTCAGCCCAAATTTAGTTAAAATTGGAATTTTCAGGTCAAAGGTAATACTAAAATTATACAATGAAACGTCTTTTTACAAAATAAGTAACGTAAAAATACATGATTGAAACAATAAAATAAAAGTGTTGCTTTGACGAGAGTTTTAATTACATTCAGTTCAATCAGGAGCCTAAAGTTGGAGTATTTTAACAATGTCAAATTTTGACAGTTCTATACCGCATCAAGAATTTAACTTAAAATATGCTAGTGAAGGCGACTTAACAGACAGTGACGAAGAAGTATTTGAACTGGATAGTGATTTTGATGAATTTACTGTCAGGTTTAGTAATGCATTAAGCGAAATGATAGCTTATGAAGAAGAAAATGATATCGAAATGGAAGTATATAAGGGTAAATATGATAGTAATATTGAAGCAGAATTAGAACAAGTTAATGTTGAACATAATTTTGATAATAATCAAGAAGAGAGAGATGAAATAATACCAAATAATGAAAATGAAGGACTTACTACAGTGCATATAACTTAATCCTAGCAATTAAATTTGATGAAATTTAAATCACTACTATTCATTCAAAAAAAAAGATAAACATAAAGTATAAACATACAATGATAAACCAGATTAAGCTTAATAAAACTATGTTTTTAAATTTCCTGTAAAGTATTTTTTAATAAAGTAGTAGCAATTCAAAGTTGAAATATTTTACTATTGAATTAAATATTTGGCCATTATATTCTAACCAGAATTACATGTAAATCTGGCCAAAATTACTTTCGTTTGCTAAAATTATATATAATTTTGGCTAGAATTAAGAATTATGACTTAAATTAAATAAATCTGACCAATAAAATTATAGGGTTAAGTATTACATAATATAAAAAATTTGGCCGCTTAAAAATTTTTTTGTTGGGACTAGGTTGTATGCACTGTAGCCAAAAATACAATGCACTTTCACCTTGTGTAATTATTGACAATATTCATGGTACAATTAAACGATATGGCGATACTTATAAACTTAGAAAAGTGCAAAATTTAATTGGAACATGGCAAATAGATCAAGATGCAGTTCAACAAGTCAATAACGACCATTTAAAATTGGGAGTATGTGATTCGCATTTTTTGTATGATCAAAACCAAATTCACGATCCTAAAGAAAAAATATTTAAAGAATTTACAGATGTAATAATTCAACATCGAAGGTGTATAGGATGTAAAAAAATTTATAATTTTTTTAGTTGAGGAGAAGGATGTAGAAATCATTCTTGGTTGATTAATGAACGAAATATTCAAGTACCTTGCAATGGAGTAATACATTATATCAAAGCCTGCTTTTAATAAAATGAATAAACCAAGATTTATTTGTTGCGCTTGTTATGAACGGTTAGGCAGACATATTCATAAACGTACTGGTCAAGGTAAAAAATCAAACTGTGTTCAAGATAAATTGCATGAAGAAGATATTACAAAAGGAATTAAAATAATTGCAAATTGGCTTATTAAATTTTCCATACAGATAAAGAGACAAAAAAAGAAGATATCTTAAGATCTATTGTTAAAGTTATTTTTCCTTTTATTTTCACATCAACTAAAACTATATCATCAACTTTAAACAATTTCAAATCAGATGAAACCCCTAGCCTTTTCACTATTCAAATTCTCTTTCTTGATACATCTATTAGCAATAGTAAAGAATGTGATGATATAGACTGTGAAAAGTTTGGACGAGAATTTGGAATTAAACTCTAGAAATCACGTGAAGCGATAAATGAGAAAAAAGATTCATTAAACTCACCTGAATCACTTTTAGAATATTTTCATGCATTCCCAGATTTTATTACAGCATTTTTTCAGAAACTGTTGATAGAAATTTTTAACTGAAAACTTACTGTTAGTAATAGAAAAAGAAAACAACGTGAACAAAAAAAAACTTTACCTGAAAATACAATTACAAAAATAGTTGTAATTGGGTATAGTGAACGTCATGAACGGAATCTGGAGAAAGAACGTATTAATAAAGTTATTCCTGCACAAAGGTTATACCAAGAGTCAAATATATGGAATCTTGCAATTATAGACAATATAGATTTCAAGCAAAAAACCTTTTCTTTTGAGAATATATATGATGCCACTTGTGATACTTCACACACAACCTTAAGAATGGTATTTCAGTCAAAGATTTCCAATAATCTTGCATTACGTTAGAAAGAAATAATTACCTTAGATGAAGAAACTACTAATATATATGGTATGAATTCTACTACGAAAGAAGCTCTGGATAGATTTCAAAATATATTAGAAAGATTGTTAGATATCCTAAAAACAAATGAAGAGAATATAGAATATAATAAAAATTTTGATGCAAAAATAATTAAAAAGAAAATATTGGCAGAATTTGAACATGGTTGTAAAGGTTTTTCTTCCCATGTTGTGATTCTTAAACCAACTGATAACCTAAACTCAGATCAAGCGATATTAGAAACTACTAATATGTATAGAGCTGATTTTAATTTGCAAGAAAACGGGTACCTTGATATCGTTGCTGATGAAGCAATCTTTTGCCGGTTAATGAGATGTCAAGCACAATTTTCCCAATTAAGACCATTGCTTAGGCAATGGCATACCTTGAAGAACTTCTGTTCAGTCCTAATTGTGTTATTTTCCAGCTATGGGCTTTTAAATTTAGCGAGAAAATTGGATGTTCGATTTTTAGATAAGTTCAAAGCTGCTGTTGATTATTGAACAACATCTAGAGTATTAGATCTTTTGTGGTTAGCAATTAGAGTTGCAGTTAATATATTGCAAAAAAAAAAAAAATTCTTCTATCTGAAATAATAGATGGAAATAATGACACACATATTTTGCTAAAAGTTTGGTACCTTTATTATCAATGGGCTGGAATTTGGAAAGTGCACCAAATAGGGATGAGAATTGGAAATCACAATTTGCAACAGGATGCTCTTTCTGCAGCCTCACCTCTTTTTCCAAGTGCCGGTAAATCTAATTATGTATTAGCGATTGCTCAGCACCTCTCTACCTTAACCAAGTATCCAAGATTAAATGAGATTTTGCAATATGTTGGAGCATTCAGAATACCAAAGAACAATGATAATAAAAATGAAGATCAAAAACCTGTTTGTTTTGGCTTTGATGAAGCCCTTGAAACATTCGGTATTCATTTTGTAAAATAAAACATTACTGGAAACGTTATTGATGAAGCAAAATTAAAGGCGAGTATTAAAGCAGCCAATCAGAAAGAGATTGAATTGATTTACTCTTAAGTGAATATCTTGATGACACTTCAATTTTTCAGAGTGAACGCGCTATTGATTCCAGAAGTGAAGTATTATGGAAGTTAATTGAAGATTTGGTTATTATTTTTGATATGATAGATCCATTATCTCATGAAATTTTTAAAGATCTTGAATCACCTGAATTATACAAAGAGGAGTATGAGAGATTGGTCGCATGTTACAAAAATGGTTTAGAGCGAATGCAAGTAATTTATAAACAAGACGTGATAAAGATCAAATTTCGAAATGTACAAGGAAGACGTGCTTTAAAAATTCAGAGAACAAGACACAAAGACTATGCTGAGAAAAAAAAAACTGAGAGGAAGGCAAGGTGAAGGCAAAAGCATGATAAAGAAGTATTCCACCCAGAGGTACTGTACTATGCAATGCTTTATTGTAACCTTAACTCATACTTAATCTTTCTATGCTACTTTAGCCACAAGTTGATAAGCAGGAGTCCAAAAAATGAAGAAAAATACTTTTACATGAAGAACAAATACTGGTCTGTCTATTAGATTATATCCGTCTATTAGATTATAATGATAAGATTCCAACCCATGTATATGATGAAATTCTTCAACAACTTGGAACTGAATGGGATAAAAAAAGGGTTTATAATTGGTGGAATTATCGTGTAAATAAAAATAAATAATTTATTTATTATTATTTGTATTATAATTGCAAAGTTACAATAAATTAATTAAAAATATCATACAGTATATATAAAACAATAATTTGAAATTTTTACAAAAACCGTCGCCTAAACTGCTAATTCTTACTTATGTTTTGTGTGAGATCGCTATAAAAGACATATATTTGGGTAGTATTCGTAAACTTTCAAGCATGTTTATAAGTTCAATCAGCGACATAAAGGTGAAAAGTGAGTAAAGTTACGTCGCTAATATTTTTTTTATATAAATATTGAGGTGTTCCAAAAACTATAAAAATTTGTAGCATAACTCATAAAGTATCACTGGTGAAAGTTTAAAAAATTTTTAATATATAGTTTTTTTTTTGCTCTGATATTAACTTCGTGCTGTTTTGGTTACATAAACTTTATTAATTAATGATCGACATCAAGAGTACATCAAGTGTAACATTTCCGCTGACTGTTAAGTAGACAGAACTTTATATAAGAACATCCCCTATAGGGACATTTTAGGCTGATCTGAAGCTAGGAATACACTGCCTACTCATCAGTTTTATCCTTTTACGATTACTGATTGATGAGTTATTCAATAAAATGATAAACATCAGCATTATAATATTTCTTGATTTATGTTTACTGCACTATTTAGCATTTTGCTAAATATCTCAGTACAGTCAAACCTTGATATAGCGAACCCTTGATATAGTGAATTTTTCAGACAACTATAATAAATTTCCCCTTACTATAACGAATTAACCAATCAAATCTCTTAAAATTTTCACTATAACCCTATAGCGAAGTTGAGGTCTGGAACCTAGGGTTCATTATAACAAGGGTTGACTGTACTTAGTAATTATAAAAAAAAATGATTAATAGCTTGTTGGAATCGCCTCATCAANCAATCAAATCTCTTAAAATTTTCACTATAACCCTATAGCGAAGTTGAGGTCTGGAACCTAGGGTTCATTATAACAAGGGTTGACTGTACTTAGTAATTATAAAAAAAAATGATTAATAGCTTGTTGGAATCGCCTCATCAAAACGAATCGAATAGTAGTAAGCATATCTTCCTGTGATCAATATTAACAAAATTACTACTTAAAAACCATTAATTTTGGAAATTGATCTGGTAATTGGATTTCGATGTATCTTATACCATTAGATTCGTCTCATCAAGACGAATTAAATGGTACTAAGATTGTCTCTCTAGGATCAATATTGGCAGAGTTATTATACAAAAACCATTAATTGCCAATTTGCTACTCAGTGATACAAAATGATCGGCAATCTATAATTAATCTTGTCAGACATTTTTATATTAAATACTATTGCTTCTGAATGGTGTTTGTACAAGTTTGAAAATGTTTTGTTGTAATATAAATGCCTTAAAAATACATTAAAAAAAGGTGTTACATTACTTAAATATAGTTTTATAAAACTGGTAAAACTAAAACATTGCCAAAAAAAAAAAAAAAAATTTTTTATTTTTTTTTTTTTTTTTATATTATTTTGTTAATCTAAGCAAGAATATACCGTATATTATAGATTAGTAAAGTATAGTTACATTAAACATGACTTATGTAAGACAAAATTGGAGTTAAAATGTGGCGATTAACATCATTCATATAAGAACTTATGACGGATCTACTAATCAATTTTGTATCATTGAGTGGTGGATTGGCAATTAATATTATTTAATTTCAGAAATTAATCTAGTAATTGGATTTTGATGTATTTTACCATCAGAACTGTCTCATCAAGACGAATTGAATAGTAGTAAGATCATCTCTATAATTAATATTGGCAGAGTTACTTGTTACGATACAATAAAGTTTTAAGTATAATTCTGGTCAAAAGTATATTAATTTTTGGCCAGAATTATGATATACAAATATAAGAAATTTTTTATATAGTCACATTTCTTTATAATCATCAAATATGGACTGTTCCAAATGTGTGACTATAAAGAGAGTAGACTGTATTTGTTTTTGATTTTTTTTATAAAAAAGTAGTAACTAGTACTCTTAAAAATTCAGATCAGATTAGGATTTTAGAGGACCCGCTTACTTATAATAAAGGTCATTGTAGAAAATTAGCTTTTTACTAATAGTTTTTACTTTACTTTTTTCTTAAATTCTATTGATTAATTAGCTAAAAAGGAAAAAATCATAACAATGTAACATAAAATTTCTTTTTATAGTAGAATCTGCAAAGAATTTTATATATGATTTTTACCTTAGGCCTAGGGATGACCTATCTTATAAGTAAGCGGAGTCCTGGATTTTAGTAATCATATTTGAATCTGATCTGATCTAAATTAAATCTGAAAAATATTATCTTGTGATCTAATGATTGGATTTTAATGATTATTTTAAATTATATTAAGCTGATCAAAATACAATTAATTTAGGTTGTATTATATTACCAATCAGTTCAATCTGATCAGATTGATCTGCTTAATATTATAATTTTTTATAATATATGGTTGGCAACCTATTATATAAGTTCTTTGAAAATTATATAAAAATAAAAAATAATTGTATTTAAACAATAAAAATAAAGTAAAATAATAAAAAGTATCATATCAGCGGATTTGTTTCATTACATGTTATTTGCTATAACAAATTTATTATAGAAATGGAAAAACCCAATTTTCTAATTAATTTACTATATTCAGCTGACATGTGATAAACAAATCCGCCAATATTTATTTATTAAGAGGTTTAAATAAAATTTTTTGTTATTAAAAAAATGGGTATAAATAAAATTAGAAAAAGTTTTAATAAATAATAATTACTATAATATTATATAAATAAAAATTGATTAATTTTTAATATTAAATTGTTTAAATATTTAATAGAAACATTCTTTCTGATTATATCTATGACTATTTTTTCTGAATAATAAAAATTTTATTTTTTTGTTTTTCTTTAATATTTTCTTTAAGCTTTTTTTATTTTTTATAAATCCTTTATTTATACATTCTTTTTCTTTAGTATTGATAATTTTCTATTTTTTAAGTTTGAGCAAAAATTCTCGTTAGTTATGAAGGTAAATGATAAAAGTTGAACTGAAATGCATCTAAGATTGCTTGGTTAAACTCATTTTAACTTTTGACAAAAGTCTAAACTTTAATTAGTAATAGTTTAAACTATAACAAAAGGTTTCGACAATAGCTAAATGTCTAAACTATGTCTAAACTTTCTAATTAATAAAATTTAAAATAAATAATTATTAATACATTATTATATATATTTAAATAAATTTTTTATAAATAAATATTATATACAATTATTAATAAATATAGTTAGACTTCCATATAGTAACATTCCATATAATTATATTATATAAAATTTTTCCATATAATCACACTTTTGGGAAAAACTAATTTATATACTTATTATATAAAAAAACCTTTGAGATCTGACTGTACTAGTAATAATATATAAAAAGTAAAATTATAAAACTGGTTATTAATTAAACTTACTATATATTTTAATATATATAATAATTTAAATAATTAATTGGTGATCCGCAAGTCAAGTAGCGAAAATAATAATAAAATTTGACAGAAATTTATTAATTAAAAGCCGCATTTCTGAATGTGGGGTTGTTCATGAATTTCTCTAGCCAAATGTTTAAATAACGCCATTTTGCTTTAATGAAATAATTTTCCACAGTTTTTCCACCAATCTCATGCAAAAAAAAACCATAATGTAACATTGGAAAAAAGTCCAATTTCCAAGAGATCTGAGATTTGAAAGACAAAAACTAGTTTTATCATATCATATCACTTATATAATGAGTGTGAAAAAGTCTTGAATTTATCAAGTTAGAAGTTATTACAGCATAGTTTACTAATAAAATATATCAAAAATAAAGCAATATGCATAAAAGTTTAGTGAAATATAAAAAAATTTCCATAATTTGTACTTTTAAAACCTTAGTTTACCTAATAATATAGTAAATGCTGCGTGCTTCTAAGGTAAACTTCGTTAAAAAAAAGTTTTACACAAATTAGTATATGATTTACGTCAAATTTTATATGTAATTTCTCTAGTTGACTCATGGATCGTCAATTAATATAATGTATATTAAATTTTATAATTGCAAAACTGGTTAAATTTATATTAAATCATATAATTTATTATAATAAATGGTAAACTTTATTAATTACTATGTAAAAATATGTCTAAACCTTTTACAGTTTTACCAATTTCATTAGTTTCACAGTTTCGCAAATTTTTAATTTTTTAATAAAATGTTTCAACTAGTTTCGATTTTAACAATTGTCTAAACTACTTAGTTTCGCTTAGCAACCTTAAATGCATCAGAACGAAAACTAAATGACAAAACATTTTAAAGAAAAAATTACCTTAAATAACAATGTTATGAAGACTAATATACAACTTTGAAATTATTAAGCATAATTTTTGAATATGAAAAGAGTTTATGACAAAAGTCTTATTAGGATCCCGAACAATATATATATAGGTTAGATGAAAAATTTAAATTTTACTAAGGTCAATAAGCAAATATTTTTCATGTCTGCTAAGCAAACTTTTCAAAGAGTTTTATATGTAAACTTTACCTTAGGCCATACGATGACTTATCTTAATAGTAGGTGGGATCCTATTTTAACATACAATTTTCTTATTATATATGAAGTTTTTTTCAATTATAATTTTGAAGATTATTTGTAAATATAAGGTTTTCTTTCTTTATGGCTGATTGGTCTTAATATAATTGTATGTATACTGGATCCTATAACTTGATTAGAAAAAGTTACTTGATATCTGTTTTCTTTAAAAGGTTAAGGAAAAACAATCAAAATGAAAATTATTATTCTTTTTTTTGCAGAACATA